TCAGGTCCTGAAAAACACAATGGGTAGGAAAAAAGGTTATGTTGCAATTCATGGATTTAGTTAAGCTGGTAATAGATAAAAGATTAGTATTAAGTTTGGGGACATGAAGGAGAGAGGATAAAACAAGGGTGTCCGAGGTCTTGATATCCCCCTTGCCAAAGATGTGATCAAGAGACCCATCAACAAGAGATATTTTCTCTTTACCTGAGAGGAGATGATATAAACAGAAAAGGTTAAACAAGCTGGTTAAATGGTCTGATGCACCAGAATCAATGATCCAAGGGATTTTATGATTATTTGAAACAAAAGCATGATTTGCAAAAGTATGAATACCTGAGTGAGCAAATGCGGATGATGATGTGTTGGTTGAAGAGTGGGATGTTGAGACAATAGTTTCCATGTGATTCAATAGCCTTCCATACATTTCAAACTTTGCCTTCATTGCTGCCAACTATTCCATGGCTTACTTTTCTTCACTCTCCTTATTCCCTTCTTCAGGCACTGTGGCAACATTAGCATTCTTAGGCTTTCTTGTCTAACCAATCTTCTTAAAATTGTTGTTATTCCTAAACCTGTCCAGGAGAAGATCTGGATGAAGCTTTCAGCAAGTGTCCTTTGTACGCCTCCGTTTCTTGTAGTATTCACATATCATCTCTTTCTTCTCAGTCGGACCCTTCGAATTTATTCCAGTATGTGCAAAGTGTTCTGTAGGTGGACTCTGTAACTGAACCTGCCGCCTGCTCTCTTCACTACTTACCATAACATATGTCTGGACAAGAGTGACCTCATCCTTTGCCAGAATATTCTACCTAATAATGTTGAACTCAGGGTTGAGTCCTGTAAGAAACTTAAACACCCTGTTTCGTTGCACCAATTTCCTAAAACTCTCTGGATCCTTTGTACTCTCCCATACAACTGTCTCCATAACATCAATTTCCTTCTATAGCGATTTCAGCATAGAGTAGTAGATTGCCACACTCTTCTCCCCATGTCTTAGATTTTTCACATCTTATAGGCTCTTGCCACATTCAACTTCTGTACATAGGTTTCTGTAACATTGTCCCAGATCTCCTTGGCTGAAGACATTAAAAGCTAATGTTGACTTATATGGGGCTGCATAGAGTTGACCAACCATCCGATTATTGTATAGTTCTCCTGCATCCATTTCTCACATGTAGGGTCTGTCTCTGCGGGTTTCACCTTACTGCTTGTGAGATACCCTAATTTACTTCTACTCCAGACAAATCCGTATAGACTGTGCCCAAGCTAGTAATTGGTTCTATCCAACTTAATTGTGGTCACTCTAGTCAAAACGGAATCTACCGAGCCAAGCCCGGATATCGACATCTTCTTGGACTCACTTCCATATTGTTCCATTGATAAAAAAAAAAAATAAAGAAAAAACTAAATTTTCAGTCTTTATAAACTTACTTGAGGTCAAAACAGTACTTGGATACTTGACAACTAGGGTTTCACTACACTCGGCTGTTGGAGAGAAAGAGAGAAGAGGTAGCCGCTCCTACCAGATCTTCCCAACCTCTTTCAAGTCTTAACCACACACTTCTAGAATTCACAATACACCTCCCAAGCACTGAGCGCCACACTAAAAGCTTCTCCTTGACCTGTAACTTCAAAACTCTCTAATTGGCTAGGGTTTTGGGCAGAAAAAAATACAACATCACTTCTTGGCAGTTTTCAGTCAGACTTCAACTCTCCAAACCCTCTATCAACTAGGCAAAAGATCTTTTGAACTATAGGGAACTTATCTCTCCATATACTCTCCTAATCAAAGGGTGTATGGGAAAAGAGAAAAAGAAAAAAAGAGAAGGGAGAAACCTTCTCTGATACCTAGAAGTAAATCAGTTCTCAAAAAATTGATATAAACTTGATTAAAATTAGAGAGAAAGGTGAAAGAAAGGTAGATGACAGCAGTACAAAAGAAAAAGATGGAGAAAAGAAGAGGAAGAAGAAGAAGAAATCGATTGTCTCCTCTCTTCCCTCTCTAATCCTTTTGTTAGTCTTCATTTTCTAAGTTAATTACAAGTATGCCCTTAAGTGGGCGGCCAGCTAAGCAGGAACTTAAAATAAACTTATAAAAAGAAGTAACATGCTCATAAAGACAGGCCCATTAACAAACAAATAAATAACACACTACAAAAAATAAAAGAATAGATACTAGGGCCCATTCGGCCTAGTCTCTCTACAAAAAATGCTTTAACCTTGACACCAAATCGAGTCAAAACCATCTGATTGAATTTTTGAACCAACTGCGGTATTTCATCTATGGAATGCACCAAATACTCGGGAGAAACAAGAAAAATAATCCACTAGGAGCAAGAAATACCAATATCTACCCATACATTCGACATGATATGACCCCCACATCAATATTGAACAATATCAAAAAGAGAATCACTTCTTTTCTTGCTTGAAGGAGAGGTGTAGAGAATCACATGTGCGGGGAAGTTTGGAATGTCACCAAACGAGCCATCAGTGTTGAAGTCAACAAACAGGTGGGCAACCATCAAGGTGCATTGAGGACTTCAAAAGATGCAAGTTGCAGAATGGCCAACTAAAGGCTGAGGCCAAGGCCCAAGGTGAGGTGATTAGCACAAAGAGGCAGCCTGAAGGACCTAAACCAGGGTTTGTGGTGGAGGATGCCACATTGGAAACTGTCATCCCCATCCCATATGATGTTGTAACTATCTCAAAGGAGGTTACTAGGTCAGCGGTTCCTCTTAGATTTTCTTGTCTATTTTTTTTTTCTTTTTGTGGACATTTTATGCCCCTAGTAACCTAGTTATTGAGATATGAGTTTCGTTTTTGTCAAGAGTTTTGTTGTTTTGACTTGATAGGCAACATATATACCCTACTATTTCCACTAGATGCAAGAAAAACTTTTTGATATTCTGATGGCAGCCAGTTAGTTGGTCTCGCATAGGAATTTCTCTATGCCAAGATTTTGATATTCCATGTTAGAGGTTGATTGGGTTGGATGCATAATATTTTGCATATCCATTTTAAGAATTATTGAAATTAAAAAAAAGAAAAATAGGTGTTTTTTTTTAATGTTTTGGAAGTTGACTAGTTGCACACTTAAGACTAGACATATCAACTGACTGAAGCAAAGATGGAAACAATGACTAAAAAGAAATAAAATATAAAAAAGGTAACTGGTTGAAGGAATGACTCTTGTACAAGCGTCTAAAGAAGTGATGCACAAAAGAGGTAACTGGTGGGAGGAAGAGAGGTGCTTGCGTTGGACATGCATCGGGGGTTTTAGAAATGGAGTGCAAGATGAAAACCACAGGGCAGCGGCCTCAGAAACATTAAAGAGCTTGGAAATTGGGAGGGCTACAGTTGAGGGGGAAGGGGAAGGCAAGGTGGTAGAGGAAGAGGATGTGGCATAATTTTTTTAATGGATGCTGTTTTGAGATTTTATCTCTCACATGGTTTGGGTCCTGTATGTTGTAAAGATATGAATCTTGGGTGGTGTAATGTGGTGCAAGCTGGCTTGGTATCTCTTTGGATCTTGAGGGGTATTTTCATTGTAGTTTGTTTTGCCTGCTTGGATGTTTTAAGAGTTCTCTGGGGGCCATTGTTGGTGCATTGGCAAAATCTTGGGCTAAAATGTGTTTGAACACAGGTTTGAGTCTGATAGTGGCAACTTTGTGCAAGAAAATGTTGAGGATCAGGTCTGTATCCATTCCATCCCTCCCAAGACCCCTAGGTAGTGACTACTACCCTACCACTTCAAAGTATACAAATTAAAAACAGGCCCACAACAACTTCCTTGCTTAGATGGAGTGCCAGCCATCCCATTTGCTTCCCTTGGCACCCATTTTACCTTTAGATTTATGCTCCTTGTCAGATTCTTAAGTTGTTTCATTTCATTTCTATAACCCCATATTGCTTTCTCCGCGTTTTTCAACCATCCAATGATAGTCTTGGAGTCACCTTCCACAAATGGCCTTTTGGGCTCTGTTTTTGAGGTTGTTTCTTTTGTTGAAGGAAGTGTTTAAGGCCATTGTTGGTATTTGTATGCATAGTTGTCAAGGCGACGCCTAGGCGGCAAGGCACCCTTGGAGGCTCGCCTCACCTAATCGCCAAGAAGTTTTCTATAGCGTGTTATAAAAAACCCTTATATTCTTAATTTTTTTGAGGTTATAATTATAAAATAGACATTTTAAAACTAAAATATTCATTTTGTGTTTATATTACTAATTTCTTTTTATTATTTTCTTATTTGTTAGGGTTTAATCAACACAAACATTTCTAAATGTTGTATTGAACCCTCAAAGACTTAAAAACCTGAACCAATAAGTAAGGAAAAACATAAAATGCTGTCCAATCAATACATTTTCTTCTTTTTCTTTACTAATTTTGTGTGTATATACTGATTTCTTCTTCCTCTTCTTCCACCTTTTCTTTTCTTCTTTTCCTATAACAGAAATAGGGGTTCAGCCCCTATATATATTTTTTTATTTTCTTTTATTTCTTCTTTTTCTTCTCATGAATATGTTGGAAATATGTCGATTTTCTATACTTTAACATGAAGTTTATACTTTTCTTATGAAAATGATGGATATATATCAAGGAAATATGATTATGGAACCTAGGGAACTACCCTTGGATACAAAAAAATCCATCACCTAGGTGACTAGGCGACAAGGCGCCCCCTTGTCGCCTAGTCTCGCCTTGGCGCCTTGAAAACTATGTTTGTATGGTGGTGGGGATGATTGTCTGTGTATTTGTCTTTTGGGCTCTGTTTTCTGCCTATGAGATTCCCTTGTTTATTTGTGCACATCCTTAACCTTCCTATAATATGTTTCTCTGAACTTTATGATTTCATTCCATGGATGCATGGTTTGATCTTAGTCCTTTCACTGGTCGTGCTGATATTGTTAACCAATCACATACTGGAAATTTATTGATTCAAGTGACATAAAAAATGTTGATTCAGAGTAAGTTATTCTGATATAATAGTTTTGTCATTAAAGTGCAGGGGCAGAAGGAATTGATGCTCCGTCTTCTTCATCTTCTTTTATTAGTTATGGAAACTATGAGATTGCTTTATTATGTTTGGGCATGATGCACTGTTACCTTGGGCATCCTAAGCAGTCTTTGGAGGTAATTATTAGGCGACTTCACTTTCTTGTTTCTTTTCTTTTAACCAGTAAGTGATGGTTTTCTTCTGTTTTTATTTTTGGTTGGTATGTTTCCTACTAAATTCAATCTGGTTCAATGTCCAGGTGTTAACTGAAGCAGTTCGGGCTTCTCAGCAGGTAGTCTTATTATATTTAGTTTACAGGTCACTCTGTTATGATGATGTTTTTGAATAGATGTGAATCAGTTCAATAAAAATAACAGTATGATCTGAAATTAGGAAGAGAAATAGAGAAATTAGAGAAATCAGAAGAGGAAAGGGAGAAGGAGAAGAGAGTTTGATCTGTTCTCTCTCCTTTCTCCTAATTAATTTTATTAATCTAATCTCAATGGTATAATTATAATGATTCCCTTAATGGGACAGCCAGCTCATAAACATAAAAGAATAAAAAATAGTTAATAGTCCCATATGGACAAGGCCCATTAATATAAACATAACAAATAAAAGAAGACAAAAGATAATAAGACATTAGGGTTTATTTGGCCCAATCTCTCTACACTCTCCCTCAAGATGAGCATAGATGTCAATCATGCCCAACTTGCTTATATAATGTAGTGGCTTTCCTTTTGGAACTCCCTTCATCAAGACATCAACTAATTGTTCTTTAGAAGCAATAAATGGCAAGCAAGTTTCCCCTGAAACAACTCTCTCCCATATAAAATGTCTATCAACCTCAATGTGATTTGTTCTATATGTTGGACAAGATTATGTGCAATGTTGATGGTTGCTTGGTTGTCACAATATAACATCATTGGCTTCTCACAATATAACATCCGGCTGAGTGGTCAAGAGCTTGTGATTTAAGTCTATAAGTGTAGAAGCAGGCTTAGCACTAAGTTTGCCAATCTTGGTAAGAAGATCAAGGACTTGTGCTGAGAAATGAATATACCTTCCTTAGACCGTGCAATTGTACTTACTGCCTGCTCTCTTCACTGTTAACCATGGTATATGCCTAAGCAAGAGTCACTTCATCCTTTTCTAGAATATTCTACCTGGTAATTTCAAACTTACGATTGAGTCTAGTGAGAAACTCAAACACTTTGTTCCTTTCTACTAACTTTCTATAAGTTTCTGCATCCTTAGTGCTCTCCCACTCAACAATTTCCATCGCATCAATTTCTTGTTACAAAGATTTCAATAGAGTAATACATGGCTACACATTTTTCCCCTGGTCTTAGATTGTTCATATCATTCTTCAATTTATAATCTTTGGTAACATTTAGCTTTTGAGAGTAGGTTTCTGTAACACTCTCCCAAATCTCCTTGGCTGAATTCACCCAAAGGCAATGCTGGTTTATGTGGGGCTGCATAAAATTGACTAACCACCCAATAATTGTGTAATTCTCTTACATCCACTTCTCATATGTGGAACTGTTTCTCTAGTTTCTTCTTACTGCTTGTAAGATACCCCAATTTACCTCTATTGCAAACATAAATCTGTATGGATTGTGCCCATGCTAAGTAATTTGTTCCATCCAGCTTAATTATTGTCACAACATTCAGCACAACTTCTACAGGTCCTATTTGACCAATCCCGGGCTCTGCATTCTGCTTCATTTCATCTTACTTCCAAACTGCTCCATTAATTAAACGAAAACTCAAAAGTGATATTGCTAGCCTAAATAGACCTCACTATAGTCAATCCCAAGCTAATAAATCAAAAACCTTGGGTTTCACTAAACCCCACCAACTGAGAGAAAAAGGAGAATTGCATCCACTCCAACCAGTGGCTCCTAAAAGGTGTCCAACTGCAATCGATCTCTTTTAGGTATGAAACAAAACCTTCGAAGCCCTAAGAACCACTCCCACACAGTTGCCTTAGCCCATAATTGTGAAAATCTCTAGTTGGCTAGGGTTTTGGCCAAAAACAAAAAACCTCAATTTCTTGGCATTCCACAGCCAGCTTTTAGATCTCCAAACCCTCTACCAACCAGGCAAAAATAGCTGAAATTAATCAGCAACTTATCTCTCCATACACTGTTTCAATTAAAGGATGTATGGGATCGAAGAGAAAAAGGGAAGAGAGAGAAGGTGCTCTGATACCAAGATGTGAATTAGTCCAATAAAAATAACAGTATGATCTGAAATTAGAAAGAAGAATAGAAAAGAAATAAAAGAAATCAGAAGATGAAGAAGAAGAAGGTGAGAGAAGAAGGGAGAAGGAGGAGAGTTCGATCTGTTTTCTCTCCTAATCAATTTTATTAATCTATTCTCAATGGAATAATTAGAATGATGCCCTTAATGGGGCGGCCAGTTCATAAACATTACTTAAAAGAAAAAAATAGTTAACAAGCTGGTATGGACAAGGGTCATTAACATAAAAATAACAATTAAAAGATGACAAAAGATAATAACTTAATAAGACACTAGGGCCCACTCGGCCATTCAGCCCAGTCTCTACATCCATAACACCTAATCCAAGAGGCCTGTCAATTGGCACCCTACTTATAGCATTTTTTCATTATTATCAGTAAAGTTAAAGTGTGAGTACTCTTGAGCTGCAAATGGCCAGCAAATTGACAGATAATTGATAGAACAAGAGATGGTGAAAATGGGAAGATAAAGTAGAGAAATTAAGGTCATTGGTTGCAAGCCCCCGGTGATTGTGGGAATAACTCACACAGTGAGGATACGCTTTAATTGAAGGAGAAAAGACAACCATTAGGGTTTTTTTACTGGGAGTGAGGGAATGGAGTTATAAAAGGATATCTTTGATAGAAGTGAATTCCAGTTTCTGCAAGTTGGTCGATCTTTTATCATCAACAGATCCACCACAGATATCTCCTATTCTTTTGAAGATTTATTTGGTCCATAAATGGAAATGCAAGCTGTATATACTGTTGGGACCCAAACACTCCCTCTGAACCCAACTATAGGAGTGGAGAAGGACACCACCGAGCAACATTTCACTAGAAGACAGAGAGGCTAGCGTGACATGCGACAGAGCCTCCCAGAGTTAGTTACACTGCCACTAGAAGATATTCTCTCCATGATTGCATACATGTAGGCTAGCTATATAAGGCCCTGATCATGTAATAAGTGGTGTGAATGAATATCCCTTTCATCTCTCTCTGAGTCATTTTCTTCCTACCTTTCCCCTTTTCCCTCCCATCTTCTGTTTCAGGAGGTTAAGCCACCCTCGAAGGGGCTTCCGAGGTGAGCGGTAACTCATCAGATTGGTATCAGAGCCAGGTTATCCAAATCCCAGGCTTCATGATGCCACAGACACGTTCCACTACCGTGGATGAAAGGGTCGACCAGCTTGAGGTTGGATTTCACCAGGTGTTGAACGAACTCAAGGAACTCAAAGTGGTCGCCTCCAGATTCGTTTCTCAGCAACAGTCCGGCGAGACCAGTCACTTAGCAGGAGCGGAAGCCTCTGCTTCCAGTAGCCAAAGAACAGGGGATTACCCCACCGGAAAAGTCACTAAGATCAACTTTCCCAACTATTCCGGTGGAGATCCCATTCCTTGGATCTTCCGAGCAGAAAGATATTTTGAATACCATGAAACTCCTACACACCAGCGTGTCTCCATCGCCTCCATTCATCTAGAAGGAGATGCGATTCTATGGCTCCAGTGGTATCGCCGGAATCATCCCCAGGTAACTTGGGTGGAGTTCACCAAAGCTTTGTGCATCCGCTTTGGGCCGACGACGTTCGTGGACTACGACGAGATGATCACCCGGTTGAAGCAGACTGGAACGGTAGCAGAGTACCAGCTCGAGTTCGAGCGGATGGCGACCAGGGTACACGGCTGGCCGGAGAAAGCCTTAGTAGGATGTTTTGTGGGAGGTCTCAGAGAGGATATCTGTCTGGAGGTGAGGGCTCTCCGTCCGACGACTGTCATGGCTGTGGTGGGATTGGCTTGCCTGCAAGAAGAAAGAATCGACAACCTTCGTAGAGCTAGCAAACTGACCTACCCGAATTTGAGGACTCCTCCACGGGTCGATCAACAGCCCATGAAACCGGCTGGGGATCCTCAAAAGCCCATATTGCCCTGGCCCATTATGCCCTTCAAACGTCTCTCATGGGCTGAGATGCAAGCCCGACGTGAGAAAGGCCTTTGTTATAACTGTGATGATAAGTTTGGACTGGGCCATAAATTTCGGGTCCAGTGGGTGTTTCTCCTACAGACAGAGGAAGAGGCGGAAGAGACAGACCCAGAGCACTTAAATGACTGTGAACTGATTCCAGACGGACCAGAACCTGACGGGGCTGAGATCTCCTTACACGCCCTCACGGGCCTCAACTCTCTTCAGTCCATGCGAGTAGAAGGAAGATTGGTTGGCCGGACCGTGATGATTTTGATTGACAGTGGCTCTACCTTGAATTTCATCACTTGTCGTTTGGCTAAGCAGCTAGGTATGACCATACAACCCACTCCTCTCTTTTCAATCCATGTGGCTAATGGGAGTCAGATGTCATGTAATGGTGTATGTAAGAAGGAAAAAATCCTCATACAAGGCCATAATTTTGTGGTGGATCTCCACCCATTGGATTTCTTGGGGGCTGATATTGTTTTGGGGGTTCATTGGTTGCGTGGCCTGGGCCCTACTCTATGTGATTGGGCCAAATTGACAATGGATTTTCACCAGGATGGCCAGTCTTGTCATTTACAAGGGGTGCGGCCCCCTAGTCCACAAAGTGACACTTTAGCCTCCATGATACGGGTCTCCAAGGATGCTGGCCAACCCATATTTATGCGCTTAGGCATTCGGCCCACAGTCCCAATTCTGGACAACCAGGGCTGTGTTCACTCCACAGAAGCCCAATACAAGGCCTTGCGATCGATACTCGATCAGTTTGGTGATGTATTCAAGGAGCCGAACCAATTACCTCCACCCTGGGCTCGTGATCATCAGATACCTCTCTTACCCGGTTCTAATCCGGCCAATGTGAGGCCATATAGATACCCTTACTTTCAGAAGCTGGAAATCGAGAAGGCGGTGAGAGAACTATTGGAAAAAGGGCATATATAGACCAACACCAGCCCTTTTTCATCTCCTGTACTCTTAGTAAAGAAGAAGGATGGTAGTTGGCACTTTTGCGTAGATTACCGGGCCTTAAATCAGATTACTGTGAAGGACAAGTTTCCTATACCCCTCATTGACGAACTATTGGATGAGTTAGAAGAGGCACGGGTGTTCTCCAATTTAGACCTACGGTCTGGGTATCATCAGATTCGGGTCCACCAGGCTGACATCCACAAGACGACCTTTAGGACCCACGATGGCCATTATGAGTTTTTGGTTATGCCTTTTGGACTCACAAACGCCCCCTCCACCTTTCAGGCCCTCATGAATGACATCTTCATTCCATTTCTAAGGCGATTTATTTTGGTGTTTTTCGATGATATTTTGGTGTACAGCAGGGATTGGGACACACATATGGAACATCTGATACTCACCCTCACAACTCTAAAGGGGCACCAGTTACATGCCAAAATGACAAAGTGTTCCTTTGGACAAGGACAAATTCAGTACTTAGGCCATGTGGTTGTAGCAGGTCGGGTCATGGCAGACCCAGAAAAGGTAGACGCCATCTAGAAGTGGCCCAAGCCCACTAATGTAAAGGCTCTGTGGGGTTTTCTTGGGCTTACCGGATATTATAGGCGCTTCATTAAGGGGTATGGGCTTATGGTCGCGTCCCTCTAACGCGTCTATTAAAGAAGGATTCCTTCAGTTGGACTGATAAAGCCCAACGGGCTTTTGAAGACTTGAAGACAGTAGTTTCCAGCCCTCCGTTCTTCACTCTTCCAAACTTCTCTCAGCCCTTTGAAATAGAATGTGATGCGTTGGGTGTAGGAGTAGGGGCCGCCTTGATGTAGAAAGGGCAGCCCATTGCTTATTTTAGCAAGGCTCTCTCGGCAGCTCACCAAAGTCAGTCCCCTTATGTCAAAGAAATGATGGTTGTGGTAATGGCAGTGCAAAAGTGGCGTGCATACCTATTGGGACGCCAATTTGTTATTAGGACAGACCAACGAAGTTTGAAGTACATAGCAGAGCAAAGGGTGCACACCCCAGAGCAGCAAAAATGGCTTAGTAAACTGATGGGCTTTGACTACCTCATAGAATATAAGTCGGGGCCCGCAAATAGAGTAGCTGATGCCTTGTCACGAGTAGAAGAGTTAGCCCATCTGACCTGCTCAGCCCAACTTCCTTTTGTTTGAAGCTATACGGCAAGAAGCCAGGTCTGATCTGCAGTTGCAGGTCATTAGAGATAAGTGGAGGCGAGACCCTTCACAAGTTGCTGGTTACCAAGTTGTGGGGCCTGATCTTTTCTTTAGGGCTCGGTTTGTTGTTGCCCAGAATTCGGCCCATAGAGCTGAACTGCTAAGGTTGTTTCATGACTCCGCCTTGGGAGGGCACTCAGGGGTGCTGCGGACCTTAAAGAGGCTCAGCAGCTACTATCGTTGGGTAGGAATGCGTAAGGATGTATTACAATATGTATCCGAATGCCAAACCTRCCAACAACAGAAATACTCRTCACAGTCTCCCGCTGGCCTTCTACAACCTCTCAAGATTCCAGATCAAGTGTGGGAAGACCTTTCCATGGACTTCATCACGGGTCTTTCTCGTTCTGCAGGAAAGGAGGTTATCATTGGTAGTGGTTGACCGTCTCACCAAGTACAACCATTTCTCTGCATTACCTCACCCTAACATTGCAGCAATGGTGGTTAACATCTTCATCCGGGACGTCGCCAAGCTGCATGGAACCCCAAGATCCATTCTCTCAGATCGGGACCCTGCTTTCCTGAGTTCATTCTGGAAGGAATATTTTCGGTTGCAAGGAACCCAACTGCACCCCTCCACGAGTTATCACCCGTAGACTGATGGGCAGACTGAAGTTCTTAATCGTTGATTGGAAGCCTACCTTAGATGTTTCATAGGGGAAAAGCCTTGACAGTGGGCTCATTGGCTTCCATGGGCAGAATACTGGTACAATTCGACTTATCAGTCGGCTGCTGGAATGACACGCTTCAAAGCTCTTTATGGCAGAGAACCTTCTCTCATATTACCTTATGAATATGGGTCATCCAAGGTGGCAGAAGTAGAGACCCGTCTACTTGCGAGAGACGAGATTCTTAGATTGCTTAAGTCCAATTTGACAAAAGCCCAACAGCGAATGAAAGCCCGCTATGACACTCACCACCGCCCGTTAGAATTTCAGGTGGGTGACTTCGTTTACCTTAAGCTCCAACCTTACCGCCAGATCTCAGTAGTAAGACGGGCTTGGCACAAGCTAGCACCCAGGTATTATGGGCCTTATAAGGTTCTGGAGAGAGTGGGCCTTGTTGCTTATCAGTTG